TATATATATATATATATATATATATATATATATATATATATATATATGATTTCTGTTATCTTCAGTAAGCGTTCTCCACAGCAGTAACAGCCTCTTTGCAAACTGGGTCCAGTTTTCCATCTCCACCTACAGAGAAATTAGGTTTTCAGACGATGACTCTGCTTAACGTCACACAGTGATATCACATTAACGTAACACGTAGTCTCCGCTTTCGGTCGAAGGTCAAAGCTAACCAAACTCACCAAACTCCAGCTGCTTTACATTACAACTGAAGACGATCTCCCCGTTGACCACGAGCTCCACCATGTTCCACTCGCGCGTGTTTTCCAAGACGCATTGGTGCCCGCGCGATCTCAGAGCGGCTGCAGACATATTGGACGGACACTGTTTGAACTCACTTAAAACAGTCAAGACAGACACAACATGCTGGTATCCTTGTTGGACTAGCAAAGAAACATACCCAGAAGACCCTGAAGGCGCAAAGTCCTGTGTTCTACTACTCCATTGGATTCATATGGTCCATTGCAAAGAGTCACCTGCGCGTTTTTCGGCATTGTTTGTTGTGGTCACCTCACCTGGGTTACTGTTGCACACTATGCACCTGTTGCAAACATGACCTCTCTGAAATCTGTCCAAGGATTTCTTTGCTCCACTTGTTAAAAGTCAACTTTCAAATATTATTTTTTAAGGCTATGTGATCTAATGGTTCTTTAGTAGACCATCAAATGACATGTATCTAGTTACGATAAATCAAATATCAACATTATTATAAGTCAATATACTGTAAGATTTAAGACTCAGATTTTACTTTTTTTGCACCATAAACTTTATTATAACCATATATCACAAATAAGATACTATGATATGACTTACTATGCTGGTTTATGGCATACAGAACTCAGAATGACTTTATAAAAGGATACTTTTATTTTTAGACATGTAATTATTAGCACATGTATTGTTGGTACATTATACACAATTTATAGACATTGAAATTGCATAGAAGATTCTAGTTTAAACAAGTTACCTTAATCTTCAGAAAATCATGATAGCAGCATGCTATTTGCAAGTTGACATATAGTGAGATGATCACAAACTACTTTTGCTTGACACCAAAAAATATATTTACTCTTTTCTTTGGCTGATTCATCACAGTTTAGTGCAAAACAATCAAAAGCTCAGCTTGATTTTTTTTTTTTTTAACCTACACATTTTGACAGACGTTTCTTGATTTTTTTGTATGTGACAACAGAAAATGTCCTCTATAATAACCAAACACCTCTAATATTCTCTAAGTAAATTACCATCAGCATGTCATACATTTTACAGTGTACAACGAACAGCTTTACGTAACATTTTGTATCACAGTTACAGTGCATATTTTGTGAACGACTCCAGGAATACATTGTGACAGCACAAATACACTTAAAATCACATCACCACTATTTTCACTGGCACTGACAGTTCCCTATGATTTTTTTCCATTCTTCAAAGCTTGTGCCTCTTCCTGTGATGAAGTCTGGGTTTCAGCCTCCACTTTAGTCTGGTCTGGTGTCTTCAGTAGAATCTGCGGCAGTGTTTGCTGATTCTTGGTAAGGTCAGTTGGTCTCTGAGGTGCTTTGTTTGGCCAGTTTGTGTCTGTCTGCGTGTGCGTCTCAAGGGTCTGACCCTGTCTTTGCTGCGCCGGGTTGGAGCCGTAGTTACATCTATTGCAGAGATCCCTCATGTCCAGGAGTCCCTGCACCAGACTCTTGACAAATTCTGCTGAACATGTCTGCGAGCTCTCGCGGAAACTGGACACTGAGAAGATAATGTGGTCTGATTGGGGGTTGTAGCACGCTCCATATCCGTTTGGAACCACCGGCCCGTAGCTGCAGAACATCTCAACAGTAGTAGGAACCTGAGGGAAGACCAAATCCTTTAGTACTGAACTAATGACAGTTTAGTGTGTTCAAATACTGCTTTTAGGCCATATATTGAGCTTTAGTAAGAAATGAATGATCAAAGCTAAAGCAGCTGAGGCCGAGATACCCTGAAATACCTCCAGGAAAATGTTGGCTTCTACACTTCCCATTATGCAACTCAGCAGTGTCTTTCATTTAGAGCTGCAACGATTCATCGATTAAAAGAAAATGAATTGCCAACTATTTTGTTAATTGATTTGTCGTTTAAGTCATATTTCAAGCAAATATGCAAAAAATTTGATTCCAGGTTTTCAAATGAAGATGATTGAAGAAGTTTTTCTTGTTCTTATATTCTAGAATATCTTTTGTATTCCGAACTTTTGGTCCGATACAACAAAACATTAGATGACAGATAAAACTAGAATAGGAGTAGAAAGGACATTGGACTGCTTTATTAGATTACAAAAACAACAAAAAAAAAAAACAAAGCAATTGTTGTTCACTGTTTTGGTGACAACACACATCAGTGTGGCAGTAAAGTATCGTTGCAGCTCGCCGGGAAGTGACCGGACGCAGCTCCAGAGAGATGGCTGGCTAGTTAGCTAGGTAGCTTGTCATTGTCAGTAACGATGGGGAGTGAGGCGGAGGGACAGTTAGATCCAGCGCTGCCAGAAGTCCGCTGTACGGCCCCCCTTTTCTGTAACCAATGTAGCATTAAAGCATGACGGAATTAGCAAATTAGCCAGCTGTCCACTAGTTAGCTGGCCAGCTAGTTAATTCCACCATGCTGAAATGCTACACGGGTGACAGAAAAATTAGCTAAGTTGTCACATATGGCGATAGCAATGTGCTTTCCTACACCATGACAAGACATGAAGCATTAAGTTGTTAAATTGTACTCTTTGAAACATTATAACTGCACCGCTCATTTTATTCATTACTGCAAAATCTCACCTCAGTGAGTACGCAACGTCCCGTAAGTTTGTTTAGTTTATGATGTGGACAATAGACCACTGCTGTCACAGGCTGAGCAGTACTCCTTGTAGTGAGTAAACTGAACTTCATGTGTAAAATCGGTTGATATTTCTGATTTAAATATAGTTGCAGTCTAACGTTTTAAAAATCAGATGACAATACCTGACTTGTAGAGAGAATGAACTGATTACTGATGAGATGAGCTTCGTCTTTGAATATTTCTGGCTTCTCCATCTTCAGTTCATGTGCAATTTCACGTAGTCCTAGTAAGTGATTGTCTATTGCCATCCCTGTAATAGCCTGAAAATGAGAATGAATACATATGTTATTGTGTTTTCTTTGGCAAGTAAAGTCAATGTTGTCATAGAAATCAGTTTGAGGTTAGGGAATAGTCACCAGAATAGTATATTTTGTTTGCGCGGTTATGGCACTTCGTAACATCTCCATCTTCTCTGTATCCTGGAGATGTAAACAAATGAGAGTCAATTGCTAGATTATTAAATCCCTTTACTTACAGTAAACAAAGTTTTCATGGTGAAGTTCATCAACGGACTGAAGTAGAACATCGAAACACACTCTCAAAGGCAAAGACAACTGCCAATCTCATTTAAATTGGACACTATGTATCTTACGTTCGTGCTCAGTTTCCCATCAGTCATTGCTTTGACAAAGGCCAGAGCTTCTGGTGTGGCTGAGCGGATGTTGTCGACCCTGCCCTCCTGAAAACGCCGAATAGAAGCACTCTCATAGGTTGACACCGGTCTGCCGTGACATCTGACACAAAGACAAAGCCTTGTAGCTTGGTGCGCTGGGTTAATGTGACGTATGAGAATCAGTCCTGTTGTAATCATCTCTTTCTTACCGGTAGTAGGCTAACTGAAGAGCAACCTGGATGTAGGCATCGGGACTCATCTTCTGCTTCTTGATGAACTCTTTCCCGTAATCGAAGAATTTGTGGACATTCATGTCCAGATTTTTCACCTGTCTGAGCAAATAAGGATACACCTGAAAGCATCTACTCACATATTTGATTTCACAGAAACTAGAGTTAACACACACCTCTGTAGTTTGTCAGCAGAAGAGGCGAGGAGTTTGTGAATCTCTGGAGTACATTTCCACCGGAGCCTGCGTGGTGCAGGCAGCTCGCTCACACTTGCCGCCCTGACCAGCTTTGATGGGCTTCCAATCCTAATTTCACATGAGAATATTATATCAATTGGCATGCTTTTTTTTAGGATAGTCTTATTTGGATTTTCTAATCATATCACACACACATTTTACATTTCATTTCTTACATGTATTTCAGCAGATATTCTGTGCACTGCACAAGGACAATTCCTTCAAATGCTGAGTGTTCACACACAACTCCGCAGCAGCCGTCAGCTCCTACAACAAACTGACACAGTCATGCTTTTGTCAGTGGTACTTTCTCATTGAACCAAACTGCAATGCTTGATTGTCTAAGATTCAGTTAATTTGCAGTGAATAAATCATTTTGAAAAAGAAAGCCAATTAATTCGAGACATTTGAATTCTTCATCAAAACATCTCCATCAAAGTTCATGCCAATTAAGGAGATCCCATCTTTACATACATTCCTTTCCTCGCTTCATTCTTGTTTTCTCTAACTGTTTAACAAGTTCTTTAAAACATTAAGGGACAGTGTGCAACATGCTAAGGAGGCCAACATTAAAAGTAGCCTTACTAGCTCACTGTGCTCACTAACCTGCATTGGCTTGTCATACCAGCGGTTGCCCCCATTCTTGGCCACTCCTCCGCCGTGCAGCATCAACATGGCTCTGGTTGCGTCATTTAGCCCCAGCCCACTGGCGTCATCCAGACAGACCAGACACAGACAACGTTCAATCATGTCCAGAGAGTCCCTGTTAGTAGACTCTAGAGCATAAACAAAGTCAATTTGTTGGGGCAAATAGACTTGGAAACACTGAGATCCACCTGACTTAAAAGAGTTTCGTACCTCTCATTAGCACACTGCGAGACTCTGCCCACTCTGTCCGTCCATCTGAAGTGAGGAGCCCAATAGGTGGGAGCTGCTCTTCTTCGCTGTCAGCCATCCTGGAGATCTTCTCCAGCTGAGTGAGCAAGTCTTTTTCCTTCAGTCGGCGGAAGTTGATAACCACATCCAGCACAAAGAACTGGACAGAGGTTCAGGTTGGACAGTAGATGTTTCAGTGCACTCGTCCTTCAGGTCTTATTTTAATATTAGCTGGGAATATACAATGCAGGCTGAAGCACACAGGAGAATTGTTTCTGATATCTGGTAGGATGTGCATGTTGAAGGGCAGCAGAGACTTAAAGGATAATTCTGTTTTATTACAATTAGTAATTGTTAAACTTTGATAAACTGGTCTATGACAACTTTGGATTTGTTTTTTTCACTGTGTCTGACCTGGTTTTTACAAGCCACAATGATGTGTTCAGGCTCTGGCATCACGCTACTCTCCTGGGCCACCAGTGTGTCCCTCTCAGGCCCCGGTAGGCGGTAGGAAGTGAAGAGGCGATAGTACTGCTCCATGCAAAGAGGAGTTCCAGCCAGCTGGCCCCGAGCATAGTCCACAGGCAGGGCACGTCTACACACAAACGTACATTACTTTGTCAGGCATTTCAGTTACACATGAATCATATGTGATAAATGATTCTGTTGTGATTGAATATCTCAAGTTCATTTGTCCTCTCATTGAAAAATAACTTACGAATCAAGAAGAGTCTTGTATTCCAAAGCCCCAGAAATTAAGTGAGCAGCAAACCTAGGGAAAAAAAAAAACATTTAAATTGTAAAATACTTTCCAAAACACACGCATGTTGTACTTGGTTTCTCCTTCTCATACTCTCTGTACTAATATTTCCCTGCATTTAGCCTTGTTTTTGTGTAGCTGTATTACACTTAACAGTATAAATGCTACATGTAGATCATCTGGTTAAGGAGCCAGTCTCAGATCAATGCCAAGTTAACCAAACCTCTGCCTTCATTGTCTGTTAACCATGCCACCAGTGGCCTGGCCTGGCCTCGCAGCCCTCGAGGTGTTCTGGGTAATGACCCTATCTGTCAATGTATAGCATGGAAGTGTTCAATTTGCAATAACCAATCAAAGCCAATCTCATTTCTCATGTCTTTGACAAACAAAAATGGCCTGTCAAGTGGTACATTTTTGATTTTTATAATACATGGCAATTTCAGCTTCCTCCTTCACAATTTCACAACTGGGTGACAATGCACTTCTGTGATCTGTCCTGAGGTTTCCCTCATTTGTCTCCGTTGTGCAGTGTCTCACACCTTAAAGAGTCCATGGGAGCCTTGAAGTGCTGCTGTGGGAAGACCATCACAGGACTGGAGTTGACGGGCAGAGCCTGTCTGTTGTTCAGGTACATTTCATTCAGCCAGTAGTCGTACACCTACAGTCGGACATAGTTTAATATTGCTTTTACACAAACTGACTCTGCAAGTCAGTTCATGTTTTCCTAATCTGTGAAGGGTTTGTTTACATCAGTATTATTTGTAAACAATGTTGTAAAACAGACACATAATTGTATTTATAGTCACACAAAATGCAGTTTATTTGTGCTCAATGTTAACATTAAAGATCAAATACATTTCATTATAATGCTTAGCGTCACTGAAAACAATTTGTTTGAAATTACTTGCACACACCTTTATTGTGCTTATGACCACATGATTTTATTTACCCAGTTTGCCTTGTTGTCCCTCCTCTCCATGAGTTTGCTCTGTAGTAGCTCCCCCACTCCTCCAGGTGCTCCAAACTGCTGCACCACATGTCGGGTCTTGTTGAACTGTTCCTCTGTGAGTAGGTGGATCATACCCCTCAGGTACATGTCCAGTGTGTCTTTCAGAGCGGGGAGCGGCAGCTTAGGAAGACCCTGAGCAGTGTGGGACATGTCAAACTTCAAAGTCTCCTCTGCCACATGCAATTTTTAAATTGTTTTTATAAATATAAATTCAGCTGCTTGCCAAAGTTGTAAATTGTTCACTTGACTCAGAAAAAGAGAATATTTAATTGAAGTATAAAAGCATAAATTATTCTGATAAAATAGAAAAGTAAAATTTGATGTCTAATTGTTATGAGTGTTCTTTAATGCAATTATATATTATACGTTACTGATCGTTTGTAAAACATTCATCTCATGCATATTCCAGTGAAACAGACTCTATATCCATATATACAGTAGATACAGCGGGTAAAATAAGTATTGAACACGTCACCATTTTTCTCAGTAAATATATTTCTAAAGGTGCTATTGCCATGAAATGTTCACCAGATGTCGGTAACAACCCAAGTAATCTATACAAAGAAAATCAAACAAATAAGTTCAGAAATTAATTTATGTGCAATAAAATGGAATGACATAGGGAAAAAGTATTGAACACGCTTACTGAAATTTATTTAATACTTCGTACAAAAGCCTTTGTTAATGTAACGGGTTGTATATGGACCCAAATGCAACACACAGGATTCCAGAGATCTTTGTCTTTTATTCCTAACTTCAAATATAGCAGGCAGAGTTCAAACAGGGTCAGGATCAGAAGGCTGGTGGGTTTACCGGGAGTCAGGCAAGGCGGGTAAAACAGGGGCAGGCAGGGTTTCCAGATACGGCAGGCAGAGTTAATCAAGATCAGGATCATGTTGGGATCTGACCCTGCTCTCCTGGCTGGCTGAGACCTTCACACGTGTTTTTCAAACAAAGGAGCAGCCATGTTCCTTCCTTTCACCAAAACGACTGACCTGGGGTCTGCAAGAAACCTCATGCCGGATGACCACACCCCCCAGCTCCAGCAGAAACCTGATGCTGGTCCCTCATTGGCCAAGAAAGGGCCCCCCACTGGTTGTGCCACCTGGTTTATAAGCCTGAGCACAGCTAGAATTCTTCCTCTTCCGTCCAGACACCGCTGGTCTAAGGAGATCCACAAGGCTCTCTTCACTCCGGACACGCGCTGGTGTCAGGAGGTCCACAAGGCCTCTTCACTCCGGACTCGTCCAGGGGACAAGAAGATCCACAAGGCTCTTCCGTCCAGACATGCTGATGTGAGGAGGTCCACAAGGCCTCTTCCCTCCGGACCTCGTCCTGGCAACAAGAAGATTCACGAGGAGCCGCGGCCTCATCAAATCCTATCAGGTCACATGCAACATTCGCTGGTCGAACAGACTGTGTTTTATTTTGAGTTTTGGATCCTGTAGTGCGAGAACGGATAACTTCTTTGCCCCGTTCCCCCCTTTTTTGTGTACACACCGCCGGCAGAAGGACGATTAACAATCTTTCCTCGCCGAAGATTTCCGGGAAGGACGACCCAAACCTCGTCCCTCAGCCGAAGTTAAAAAGCCCCTCTCTGCAGCGAGGAGGCCGAGTCTGCGCCAGCCAGCCCCAAGGCCGCGCCACCGAGAGTCAGCGACTCATCGAGGACAGAGTGATTCCTACCACTGGAACCAGACCCTACCGAACGAAGCTTCTACAAGTAAGAGTTACTGGTATCTGGGCCTAGCGTAGCTTAGCATTAGCTTAACTTATCCTATTCATTATGTCATTATGCCTGTATCTTGTTGCGTTAAGTTACTGTCGTGTTATAACGTGTTATTGCGCAAGCATCGCGGACCACGGAGTCCCGTTATATTGTGTATTTCCTGCTGTAACTCTTTACATTAGATCCGTTGCTGCTAGTGGATGTGGAGGTTGTGATTTTATCACTTCAAAGACCAAAACTACGGTGGCGGAGCGTCGTCTCGCCGACCGAGTTTCGGGGTGATACGAGAGCAATACTCGCATCTCACCGCAGTGATAAAGATCTGTTTTGTTTTGGGGATTATTTTGTTTGGTTTTATTCTCTCTTCTTTAAATCGGCTCTGCGAGTGAGATTGAGAACCGCAACTATCACCGTACAAGCGTGAGCGGTCGGTTCAGAATCCGACCGCAGAGTTTACGAGTGATCAGCTGTTCCTCACATTCTCACTGCAGCACCGAGCACCGAGCTCAGAGCTCTCGCTCTCTCTCGCTCTCTTCCTACTAACCCGCACACACATAGTTAGATTCACTGATTTTGGGTGAACCTCTCAGACACGTGGTCGCATAATCTATTGTCCCAACCCACATTGTGCGCCGTCCCACGTGGTTACACGTAGCCACCTCTCAGCTATCTTGTCGCGGGTCCCTAGACTCCGCCATCTTTGCTTGTAGGCTCACACGCCCCTTTTTAGGTTACGTACCATCACTGTTTGAGTAGGCCCCCCCCCCTTCGTTTCCACACACACACACACACACACACACACACACGTATATATGTCTATATACATATCCTTACCCCACTTTATTCATTTGAGTTTAGGTATTAGACATATAATTGTATGATAGTGTTTGTTGATTTTGATATTACTTGATTTGATCATTTGTTATTTTATTTAGTAAACTGTTATATTTTAAAGAACAGTTGTCTGTGATTACTTGTGCATATGTGTGTAATAATAACTGGATGTAGTGGCCTGTGCTCGAACTTAAACCTTCACTCTCACTCTTAATGTGTAATAGTACTCAGACTATTGACATTATGAGTGAACACTAATTATGAGACTTAGTTTTATTGTTTGGTTATTGGTCCCTGTTCGCAGGGTGGTGCCCCGTTATTAATAATCATTAATAATTGTTACCGACATTAATAATTCTATTGACGTCAAGAATTTAGTTTCTTAGATGCTGATAACCCAAACACGCTCCTCTACGTTCCCAACAATCAGAAGGCAGGTGGGTTTACCCGGAGCCAGGCAAGGCGGGTAGAACAGGGGCAGGCAGGATCAGTAACAGGAGATCAGTCCGTGAGAGTGTGCTGGAGAGTCTGGCATAGAACCGAAGAACAATCTGGCAAATGTGTCTGGGAGGCAGGAGTCTATATAGGGGCTTGATTACTGATCAGAGGCAGGTGAGTGAAGAGGTGAAGGGAGTTTAGACTAATGAGGAGGAAGTGACTGACAATAAGAGTGAGGAGGGTGTGGAGCTGAACTGTGACAGTTGGTAATGACAGATTCAAGATGCCTCCTGTATGGAGAAACTAGTCGCATGCATTAAGCAATAAGTAATGCACTCAACCGCTGTGGCCTGAGGCACGCTCACCACGCAACATTCCACAGAAACAGCATGTTGAAGCTTGTTTATTAATTAAAGTTTGCTGCACATTTAGACAAGCCTGTGAAATACTGGGAGAATAGAGTCTGTTCAGATGAGACCAAAGTTGAACTCTTTGGATGCCATAATACACACCATGTTTGGAGGTCAAATGGCACTGCACATCACCCCAAAAACACCATACCAACAGTGAAGTTTGGAGGTGGGAACATCATGGTGTGGGGCTGTTTTTCAGCATACGGCACTGGCAAACTTCATATAATTGAAGGATGAATGGAAAAATGTACCGGCACTGGCAAACTTCATATCATTGAAGGATGAATGGAAAAATGTACCGAGACATTCTTGACATTCTTACTTGGGTTGTTACCGACATGGTGAATATTTCATGTCAATAGCACCTTTAGAAATATATTTCCTGAGAAAAATGGTGACGTGTTCAATACTTATTTTACCCGCTGATATAAGTAAAGTATATATTTACATCTCTTCCTCCAAAACCTTTAGAGGGCTCTTGGTCCAGAACTGGCATGTTGGCAGTGCAGAGGGGCAGCCTTTGAGACAGACTCTGTGTCCACAAATAAAATGTTATCAAGATCATGCAAGTCGCTTTATATTTGAAGGTCTAACTAAGAGCAGTTGTCTTTAGATGTTGCACTACTGTGGGAATATGTCAGACAAAAGTACAATGCTACTCAATAAATAAAATGTATCACTATCACAATAAAATAATGCACACTTTGGAAGATGTTTGCATATTTTTCAAAATTGTTTAGCAAACTTGCCTATTTGATGTCAACAAGCTGTCATAAATAACACTAATTGGCTACATTTACCAAATTTGAATAAACCCTCACTTAAAAATAGAAATGTTTTACTCACCAGAAGGAAAAGAACAATCACTCGTCCTGGGGCTCAAACAAGGAGTTTAGGTTTATCCGTTTAGACTTGAATCCATTTCTGGCGAAATTTCTTTTAAATTTCACTACTTTGATCCTTTGATTTTCAGCATCTTTCAATCTTCCAGCATGGAAAGAGCGTATATCCCTCGCTGGCTCAGGAGAGATGCTGAGAGGGTGTACCTCACTCTCTTGGCTGCCAGGCTCCTCCCAGAAGTCCTGCTATTCGCCGAGAAGTTTATTTGGCACTTCACATCTTCACGCCACCTTATTGAACGCCTCAGATGCTCACACGCTATGCCGACGAACACTTAGAATGTATTTTGTATGAACTTTCTCTTTTGTTTTGTGGATTCTCAACACTTTCAGTCCAGTTTGAGCGCATTGATTCCACCGAACTGCATTTGACTGATTTAATTGACGTTATATGCAAAGCTTTGCATTCTGAACCAGCGCAGACGCTGTGACAAACTGTTGAATTTACACACAATATCAACTTCAGGAGCCTATTAGTTTGTTCCGAACTATTTGCTTTAATTTCATCCGGAGAAGTTGCCCTTTATATGATTTATGTGTAACTAATAAGCATCATAATACCGCCGTAGTAGATTTAATATTCGATTGATCAATTAATTCGTGTTCAAAGGCGAACGTTCAAAGTGAAAAAAACGTGCGTTTTAAAAATACAACCGTAATTTATAAAGTAACATCATGTTATAATCATTTTGTCAGTGATTCCTTCACCTGTAGAGGAAAATAAATGTCAACTACCACAATAAGTGTAATTAAGTATACGTAATTTAATGAATTGCTGAAATAAATAATTTCCATAAACTGTATCATTCACATAATATTGATTTAATTATTTACATGAATATACATGTATGTACAGTCGTAGATCACACAAGGAGGCTATGCATTCCAGAAGTTCATCATCCAAAATAAACAAAAAATAATCAGACAACAAGACGCAGATTTCAGTTAATTTCCAATCGTTGTATCTTTCTAAAACCGTCGTGTGACACACAGTATTGCATATTGAGTTTAGCAGCACAACTCTGGCAAAATCAATACAGATTACATTGAAAGACGCATACATTATAATTGTTCTTTTGTTGAAATACATTTACACACATCCCTGAATATGAGTCAGTTTCTGATACAGTCATAACTACTGTTAATGAATAAACATTTATCTCGACAATTCTTTCACAATACTCTCACTTTAAGATGAACAAACGCAAGCGGGCGCCTTTCTACTGCAAACGCGTGAAGCTAATTGACTTGACAATACCCGGAGGAATTGGCACCAGAAGCAGTAAATAATTGATGTCTTTACACAATCGTAATCGTGTTATGCAATTGATTGGATCGGAAGAGATGCACACAATTCACCATGGGCACTTTGATACGTTTACACTTAGTTAAGGGTCATTTACGCATACTCTCCTCCTGAGGATTCCTCCTCAGAACACGACCGTTGCGCAAATGTTTCAATGCCATTATCGTCTATTGTTGTACACAAACCCTTTCTCTTCTTCTCTCGTTGCTCCATCTTAATCGTATCATACAGTCCTGTTGGGCCGTCTTCCAGTAGCATATTTCGCTCGGAGAACGAAGGCTTCATCTGTGTCACGTTCTTCAGCAGAAGGAGCGCCGGTGCGTAAAGTACATTGGCGAGGCCCATGCCCAAGTTGAGCTGGACAAAGCCCAGGTTGTGCACTATTTGTCCAGCCGCCACTGGTCCCAGGGCATAGGCCACGCAGTAAGAGATATCTGCGATGGCGTACACACTGCCATACACTGACACATGTCGCACATCCACCAGGAAAGCCAGGGTTGGCAGGAGCGCCGTGTCCACAAAGGCAATGCCAAAACAGATGCCGCACAGCGGGATCATGAGCTGTCCAAAGGTTTTACATGCTGGCACTGTACAGGAGCTTGCGCCAATGAACACCATACCTATAGCCCCGTAAAACCACTGAAGATGGGGGTACTTGGCTGCTAATTTGACAGTGAGATATACACCTAAAACATGAGGAAAGAAGGCAGGGAACCAAGTCATGCCGATCTGCCACTGGCTGGCATGCATGTTTTCCTCCATCCAGTTGGCGATAGTGGGTTCAAGAAAGGCGAGAGGGATGTTACAAACTGTTAGAGCACCAGCCACTACAGCTATATAAGGATCAAGCATCAGTTTATGCATGGGGGTGCCCACTGGCATGTTTTCTCTCTCTCGGTTAGAAAAGGGTTTCAGCACAGTCAGACACAGTATACCATCGAGGAGGCAGATACAGGCCAGAATCAGGAAGGGCACCCGCTTCCCTGCAAACTGGTAGAGGACCCCTCCAAAGGGGGGCGCCACAAGACTTCCAAAGGAGATGAAAGCCAAGGCAATACCCAGCGCTTTGCTCCTCGCTTTCTCCTCTGTGTACCTGTCTGCAATCAGAGCGATCCCCGCGGTGTCCGCGAAAGCCGAGCCGAAGCCCTGCATGCTGCGCGCCAGGAACAGAGTCGCGTAATTTTCAGCGAAGGCAAAAGTAAGGGTGGACAGAAACATGACATTGAGACCAATGAAAAGTGGAATTTCATACCCAACCCTGTCTATGAATGTGCCACTTAGCGGGTTCACCAGAAGCTGTAGGATGGCCTTGGAGGCAAAAAGAACACCAATTTGTAGGTCGAAGTTCCCCTTGGCTGTTTTGTGGAGGGTGCTGTTAGTGAAGTTGGTGTGCGGTGCAATGGCTTCGGCATGATCCGCTGCTTGCTGTAGCTCTTCGAGGTAATCGGGTATAATTGGCACGATGACCATGTAAAGCATGTTGTCCAACAAAAGTGCTGTACAGACTATTACTAGAATAATCCGTTTCTGCCGATCTGGGTCTTGGATCACATTGCCCAGTTGTTTAGTTCTTTCGCTCATCTGGGACAGTCTGGAGGCGGCAGATTGTGCCAAATTAGTAGTTTGTCCCTCTGTGGTCCCCTCCGGCTCCATGATTTGCTCCCTTTCTGCCTCAAGTCTTGTCTTTTGAGAAAGAAAATCGGCTTCCCCCAGTTGATTTGTTTATAGAATTGCGCACGCCTGGCACATCTGTTCTGTCTTTTACTTAGTTTTTTTTCCAGCACCGGGAGCCCTACTAGTGAGCTAGGTAACTTCCCTCTACTTTTCCTCTTCTCTATCCCTTGCGCCTTCCGTCATCGCACGCGCTTTTCCACTCCCGTGACTTGGACTCGTTTTATCCCCGTCGTCCCTAGTTGCTTCATTGTCTCATACCCCGTCATTCAGGTGACGTGCTTGTCCCAGGCAGCACTCACAGGTTGGGGATTCACCTACAGCTCACAGTGCCGGCTCCATCAGCGCGCTTGCTCTTTTAGGTCGGTCTTCATGCGCTCTTTTGGCTCCCAGACGTTCCCAGCTGTCTCGAGTCACCTGTAACGCTGTGAGCTAAGTCATCATTTTACATCAACCGGACTGGTTTTGTCGGTCGTGGAAGGAATCTACACTGCCGTTTGTTGACTCCCATAGGTGCCCCCTCCCCCTCTTCCATCTTCGCCGGTGGCTGTGACGCACAATCCTGCTGCTCTCCAGAAAATCTTTTATGCTGATTAAATACAAAATCCCGACAGTGAGTTGCTTCAAGACAGAGCCATGGGTGCTTGCGTCCAGTGTATGTTATATTTAACCTCCTCAATTTTAAATACTTAATAAGTGCAATTTGATTATTTGATTCTAAAAGTATGATATATAAATCGCTAAAACTCTGTCAATGCCACTCAATAACACAAGGGAACTTGTAGTTATACAACTGGAGCTCAGAAGCAACACGGCTCAAAGAGAGAAAAAACGCACTCAGATATCCGCGTTCCTTGATAAGAACACAAGTGATTCAGCACCACATTCAAGTGGACAGCGCCACAGAAGATGCAGCTGAGGGTTAAATAACGGAATTGAAACGTAATCTTTTGAATCGTTCAACGTTTCCTCTCTAATACAAACTCTCGCTGTATTGAGTTTGTAAAAGTTGTTTTCTGGACAGCAGGGAGTCAAAGTAAGTTTAGGTTCAAGGCCCCCCATCCACATTGTAACTGAGCAAAGCACTAAACGCATGATTCAAAATCTTTACGTTCAACTGACAGGGTTTCATCCTTATCATCAGCTGCATTTATATATATTATTGGCCCTTACCGACAACTTCCTGTTACTTTTCTGTGTGTAAATGTATTCTGTTCAAATTTAGCGTTTCAAAGAATCTCGCTTAAATTAAGACTTTCACGCTGGATAAGCTATCGTTAAATCTGAAGATATACAGGCATACTACTTCTGTCATATATAAACTTCAAGAGATCATGTTTGTTCTGCTTTTTAACCGAATCGATAGACTGATCTGGGGGTTTTATTATCGCTCGACTCCGCCATCTACCGGTTCAGAAAAGCTTCAGCAGATGTCACCAATATTAACCAATCCGTGAAAGCAATCTACTATTGGGGATAAATGATTTGTACATTTTTTCTCATATTGGAGTCAGCTGTTTTCTATGTTGTTGTTTTTTGAAAACTGTTAGAATTCAATTTTTACAACAGTGAAATTGCTTTGGAACCTGAGTGATCCACTCCATGGGATTTTTGTGTGTTTTTTCTGTCTTTTGTTGTTTCAGCTGCTTCTATATGTTATCAGAATAAGTAAAACTAAAGACACTAAATGGTCTTTTTTTTTGTTTGTCGGGTTCAGATCAATTATTAGACAGAGCAGTACTGACATCTAGTGGAGGAAGAATCAATTAGTCAAGGGACTCTTGAAAAGGACCCTACTGCACCAGAACCCCCCTACATATTTGATTCTGTCTGAAAATATAATAAAATCTGGTGATTCATTGCAAAAAAAACAACATGATTTGATCGTGATTGGCCCTATTAATGTTCGAAAGAGTTAGACTACTTGTGAATGAAATGCTATTTTCACAAATGTATTAACCAGAGATTTGTAAATTGGCATCTTAGGTTTCAGTCATGTTGCTTTAATGAACCATGAAAATGATTTCCCTGTTGGTTTTCTCTTTGGATGTCGTGTCCTCGTTGAGCCAGTAGATGTCCTCATAGCCTTATAAATGTTAACTGAAAAACAGTTAAAGGACAACTTTTCTCATATACAACTTTATCTATCTGTACTTGTCACAGTATTACAATGTCCATATTAGACTGTCAATGCCCTGCATCTTGTGGAGAGGCTTTGTTTATTTGCCCACATCGTACGCATGATGATGCAGTCACAGGCCGAGAATAGAGGCATAATAAGACTCATTTAAATGCAAGATAAACAAGACATTTAAACCAGGAAAATATAAATTAGA